TAAAAAAGATTAGTGATTTTTCATGTCAAAAAAACCTTCGTTTTGTACATATGAAATCTTGGCAGAAACTGCTAAGAGGCTGCAAACATGACTGCCTCCTGAATATTTGCAGAGCAATGTTGCACTACCTGGTCTTTTCCAGATGAACTGTGATTTCTTAGCTGGGAAGGAGCCAGGGTGGATAAATGATTTTTTAAAAAACCAAATTGATTTAAAGCATCATTTAAATAAAACAAAAAAACAGGTAAATCAGTTTGATTTAAATCAAATATATCCTGGAAGGGAGGGCTTTGTAATCCAGTGCATGTGAAAGGCACTAGATTGTAGGAAGTGTGGTTTGGATGGAGAGGATCTATAATGTGATAAGAAGGCTTCCAATTTTCCCATGTGGGCAGTGGCTGCTCTTCTGAATAACCCTGGTTTCTGTTTAGTTGCAAGCTGTCTCGTGCCAGGTCCCCACCGACTGCCCCTTCCTTGCCTTTGCAAAGTGAAGGGCCACAGTTCAGTAGCTTGCTTTGTGTTTGCAACAGATCCTGTGTTCCAGTCCCTGTGATTTGCAGTTAAAGGATCTGATGTAGCAGGTCTAGGTAGATCTCAGGTCTGTGACCTGCTGGTGCACAAGGTAGTGACATGATGAATCCAGGTAAAGAGCAGTACCTAAGACATTGAAGGTGCTGCTGGTTAGAGGGGATAGACTTCCCTAGTTTGACTCAGAGCTTTGAAAAGTTGCTCTGTGTGTGTTTGTGTGTGTGACTTCCCAGAATTCCCAGGCCAACATGGCCATGGCAGCTGAGAGCTTCTGGGCACTGTACAGTCAACCCGAACATCTCTAGGAGAGCTTCTGGGCACTGTACAGTCAACCCTCGACTTCCGAACATCTCTAGATACAAACTTTTCGATTTACGAACGGCTCCATTGGCAAAAATTGGCATCGACTTGCGAATGGAGGTCGACCTACGACTGAGGTCGAGGCTCCGTTTGCAAGGCAGTGCCATGTTTTGCCAACAGAGCCGTTCGTAAATGGCTCCCTGCAAAAAGGCAGGGAGAAAGAGCTGAAAATTCAAATTTCCCGCCCTTTTTCCCTGTCTTTTTTCCTTCGGAAAGAGCTGGAAATTCAAATTTCCCACCCTTTTTTCCTTCAGAACTCTCAAAGGGCTTCCCCCCCCCCTTGACATTGGAGGAAGCCATTTGAGACCTCTGAAGGCAAAAAAGCAGGGAGAAAGGGAAGGAAATTGGAATTTCCAGCCCTTTCCCCCTGCTTTTTTGCCTTTTGAAATGCTGGAACGGATTAATTCCGTTCCCATACATTTCAATGGGAAATGGTACTTCGATTTACGAACTTTTCGACGTCATTCCAATACGGATTAAGATCAAAAGTCGAGGTACCACTGTAGTTTCAAAAGGGAAATGTTTCTACAAAGTTCATAAGTCGAGGTACCACTGTAGTTCAAAGGGGAAATGTTAAGCTCTGATTTGACTCTGTGTGCTTACAGGCATTACCCCAACTTGTTTCTGGGTCCCTGTTGTTGCCATTAGCCATGCCAAGTTCATGTTTTATCGTTACTGCTGTGATAGGGCTTGTTTCACTGCTGTTCCCTGCTAGGCGGACACTGAAGCCTTCTGTTTCAGGCAGACTCCCACCTTGCATGCCCTTGGGCCAAGGTTGTTGTCATGAAGACTTAGCACCTCAGTTCATGTCAGTTCCTTAGTCCTTGCTGCAGAGGGCAAACCAAGGGCATGTCCTCAAAGGGCGCCACTAGCAACTCGGAGAAAGGAACAATACATATTGCTCATAGTTACTCATTTCCTGTTTGGGATGGTGGAAAACAGTATGTATGGCATGAGAACACGAGGATGTACACACAGTCGTGTATATCGAGTATATACAGTATTAGTGTTTCCCAACCTTTTTTCAAGTCACAGTGCCCTTGTTGTAAGAGTGGTCAATCGACTAGATAGGCGGGATATAAAATAAATAAATAAATAAATAAATAAATAAATAAATAAATAGTAACCAAGTTGCCAAGGGAGAGGAAGGAAGAGGCTCAAGGGAACCTCATGGGCAGCAACCCTTTCCCATTTTTTCTTCTCCCTTGGACATGTGGGAAACATGAGGGAGCTGGTTTGACAAGTGAGGCGGAGGTGACCCCTCTCTCACTCCTGGCACCACGAAGTTGCCAGCCGGCCACCCAGTCAGTCTGAAGAGGGTCTTGCAGGTGCCTTCCCCTTGCCTTGCGCTTCTTCCTTCACAAGGGGGAATGTGAGAAGAAGACAGACCGACCGACCAATTGGGTTCCTGAGTGTGGAGGAACACTAGGTTGTTACAGTGGTCAAGCCTTAACTTAAGCGTTAAACTTTAAGGCAACCCGTCAGGGTAGGAAACTGTGGTATAGTGTTGTTGTTTTTTTGGGGGGGTTGTTTTGTTTTTTTCGTGGTTATACTTCAGGATGAAATCTGAAAACACAGACATGTCAAATGTTAGATTTTTTTTTTGTAACAAAACTCAATTTATAATCCATATCATTTTTAAACCTGATTTTGCACTGAAAGTATTTGACTTCTGTGGCAAAATATGTAATGCCGGCATATATCTTTGACAGTGCGAACATTTACTTTCAGTGTCACAGAGGAGTGGCTCCCAGCCTTGGGTAACCCAGGTGTTCTTGGATTGCAGTTCCCAGAAGCCTTCACCTCTAGCTGTGCTGGCAGGGGTTTCTGGGAATTGTAGTTCAGGAACATCAAGCTCGAGAACCACTGTCAGAGAAAACCACTAGACGTTCTGAGTTTCCCCGTGGTCTAACATGATTAAGCCAAACAGATTTGTGGCCTTTGGCTTTTGGTATGTGAACATCCCTGAAATCCTTGCATGTGGAGGTGGAAATTCTTCACATTTGCTTAATTGGTGTGAAATTAATCTGTCTTTTTGCTGCCTTGGCGCAGACTTAGCTTCACTCATTTTGCATAACAGCAAAATGATTTGCATGATGTTGTTGTATAAGCAAGGCAGTTTGTGCTGTGGGCCTTTAGGCTGTGCATTTGGGCTGATTGCACCCTTATTGCAGTCACACAATAGTTCACTTTCTGTTCTGTGACTTGTTAGGATTCAGTGGCTGATGGCTTGAACTGAAGGTAAGTCTGGATTTATTTTGATACGTGGTGACTTAGGAGCTGTTTTGCGAGCACTGAATCGAGTTAAGGAAGTTCTTCTTTGGTTAGAGCCCCAGTAATTTACTGGAGTGCTGTACATATTGCATCGGCCAGAAAATAGAATCACAAAACTTTTTCTCCATCATAGTCTTGCTTTTTTTTTTAGCTTGCCTTGCCGCAATAGTCATGCCTGAAGTTTCTTTATGTTTATCCGCAGGCGACCTTTTGTTGTTGTTATGCGTGGATGTATTTCTTTAATTTATATATTTAAAACATTTCTGCCACCATCTTTCTCCTGAAAAGGACCCAAGGTGGTGTACATCATTACAACAGAATTTAAAAGCTAAAAAGAATAAGTATGCAAATACCAAAATATTAAGACACATTTAAACAACAGAGCACAACTTTATTCATTATATGAATTTCAAGGGAAATAATAAAAGTGTTTTTAAATAGTCCTAGGTGCATTGGTGTCTTGGAAAGGGACTTCTTTAATCATAAACTGGTTGTTTTTAAGAGCCAATTAAAAACTTGGCTCTTAAGGCAGGCCTTCCCTCCTGTCAATACTTGACTTTATTTTTATTATACTTTTCTGTTTTCCCATCTTGAGCATTAGTAAGCATTACTAATCACTATTGTTTTGAATTGTTTTTAACTGTTTTAATTTACAATGTTTAATGTAACCCACCCGGAGTAGACTTTGTCTAAAACGGTGGGATAGAAATCCAATAAATGAATACAGTGGTGCCTCGCTTAGCGATCGTTCCGTTGAGCGATGAAATCACTTAGCAATGGGGTTTTGGCCATCGCCAGAGCAATCACTCAGCGATGGCCCCTATGGGAAAAAATCGCTTTGCGATGATCACGGGGAAGCGATCATGGCAAAGCGACCCTTTTTGCACAGCTGATCGGTGGTTCCAAAATGGCCGCCGGAGAAACAAAATGGCTGCCTGCTGTTTTGCCCCCGCTTTAGAGGCACCGAAAATGGCCGCCCCTATGGAGGATCTTCGCATAAGGTCAGTTTTTAAGCCCATAGGAACGCATTAAACACATTTTAATGCGTTTCTATGGACTTTTTAAAATCGCTTAACGATGAAATCGCTTAGCAACATTTTTCCTGGAATGGATTGTCGCTAAGCGAGGCACCACTGTAAATAAATGATCAAATTATATTTGGCCGCTTGATAGGGTCAAATATTGGCCTTGGATACTGGAAGCATTAATGTAGTAGTCGAAATGGAGAGTGATCCTAAGTTAATTAAGAGTGATTGCCTCAGAGTAAGGTACTTTGATGAATTGCTCACAGCTAGCAGTGGCGCATAAATAGGTGTCAACTGCATTCAGGAGTAGGGATAGATCTGTGAACTAAAATAACATACATTGCTGTGGTTACTTCAGCTCAGCCTTTTCCAGCCAGGTCCTTGCCGAACGAGTTGGACTTGCATGTTCATCATCCTTAGCCAGCATGGCTATCTGTGTTTGTTGAGGATGATGGTTGGCAGTCAAAACAGTTTGGAAGACATTAAGTTGGGGTGGGCTGGTTTAGTTTTGGACTTTATGACTGGGTAGGGAGATACTGTTCTTTAGTGGGCCGTATTGTGTGGGTATCCAGGCTTCTGAAGGACTGGGGACCAGAGCACCCACTACTTCTTGCTATTGAGTGAGATGATGTGGTGCGTGGGCATTCCTGGTTTCCTGAGACATTTGATTTAGGCCATCAGGGTCATCAGGCACTGTTATGTTTAGCAGTGGACCATCAGCCCTATCTATAAATGGTTCTGGTCAGATTTGCATAGAGGTGTCCATGGAGTGGTCCCTCCCTTCTGAGTCTCCTCTTCTTTCTCACCCAACAGAGGCACATTTCGCGGGGAGCCAGGAGGAACCATCGTACTCAATGACCTTACAGCGCAATGTCAGATCGTTTGGGGCAAACAGCAAAGGGGAAGGATGGAAAAAAGTATTCGTCGCTCAACCTGTTTGATACGTACAAGGGCAAGTCCTTAGAGATCCAAAAACCTACAGGTAAGGTGCCCCTCTGTGTGTGGTGTTGGGATGCAGGGAGGACTTGGTGGTTCTTCCCAGTCCAGTTCTCTGAGGAAAGGAGGCAGTTGCTGTGATGAACTTGCTTAGTCTCTGATGCCCCTCTGATGGCACTCGCAGCGCCCTGAGCAGCTGCCCCTTTGCCCATCCTGAGTTCATCTTCAACTGTCCCGGGTGGCACAGCAAGACAGCCGTTGGGTAGTTGCCATGGGTCAGTGAAGGAAGCTGCTGCTTCAGAACAGAAGTGGGGAGGGGGCGTGGGGTGAAACCTGCAGTGACCTGAGACCCATTGTCTCACCCCTGCTTCTCCGTTCCCTGTAGTCACTCCCCGCCATGGCTTGCAGAGTCTCGGTAAGGTTGCCATTGCCCGGCGCATGCCACCCCCTGCGAACCTGCCAAGCTTAAAAGCGGAGAACAAAGGCAATGACCCCAACGTCTCACTAGTGCCGAAAGACGGGACAGGATGGGCAAGCAAGCAGGAACAGCCAGACCCAAAGAGGTGAGGGGGAGCCAAAGAGCCATCACTGGCCTCCAGGGATGAGGATGGGTGGGGAAGCTTTTCCTTGCCCACCCCCAGATTTTTCTGTAATGGCCTCTTTTTTCTTTTGCCTCCAGTACCGATGCCTTGACAGCTCAGCCGCCGGAATCGCAGTCGCCGCCGGCTTCACAGACGTCTGCCTCCAACCAACAGAAGCGACCCCCAACAGCCCCCGAGGTAAAGAGGTGGTGAAAGCCTGGTGGACTGTGGTCCTTGCTCTGTAGCCTTCTAAGTGTTGAGATCATGGGCATGTGCAGGAATTTCTGGGCTAGGCTTTGTCCCGTAACTTGTTCTTACTCCTTTATAAATGGTATCTCTAAGCATTTATACCCTATTGCAGTATGCTGCTTCTCTCTCTGCCAGCCATAGACTAGGCTGTGCAGCTTGATTCTGTATGTGCATATTCCAAAGTAAAAATCATTATATTTGTACTTGTTGAAGGACATGAGGGAGTACTCAGACTGCTGTCTAGTTGTTGTGAGAGGTCTTGCCAGTTACATTTTGCCGATTCGGCCCCAAGTACCTCTATTAATGGAGAGCCTCTATAATTTTTGAGTTTCTGAAGTGAATGCTGGCAGCAAAAAGTCTCTAATTTAGAAAAACAAACCAAGATAGTAAACCCTAGTTTGAAAGTGTGAAGTTTTCCTGAGGCATTTAAATACTAAACATGTTTTTGCCATATTTCAGACATAAAAAGGAACCATAATTAGCTGAAAACAGAGTTAAAAGTGTCTGATGTCTTTGCAGCCTAGCTACAAGGAAGGAGAATATTGTGGGTGCAAGCTGAAACATGGTTACACAACTCTAAACTGTGGGGGCGGGAGGGATACTCTGCCCAATGAAGCATGTATGTGGCCGTGGGTCAGCCCTGTGTTTTAGCAGTAAAACAGACAGACATAGCTTTCCCGCACTTTACTGTCCTATACACATGCACATTCTTTTCTCACCACATGGAGAATCTTAATTAGAATTGTCTGAGAAAGTAAGAGATAAACTATGCTCTAGAAACTTTAGAAGCACACTTATCTGTTGTCTATCTTTGAGATAAAAAAGATAACAAACAGATTCTCCCCAAGGTATTGGAATTCTTTGGTCAACAGAAACAAGCAGGAAGGCTGTTTGCTTGGTTTTGAAGTGCCATTTCTCTTTTCTCCCACCCCCACTCTCAGAATCCCCCTACAGTAGCAAGCGGGGTAAAGTCCTGGGCACAGGCCAGCGTTACCCATGGAGCGCAAGGAGATGGTAAGTTTTGTCCCAGCTAATTCTGCACAAAGCTGAGGTTTGGGATAATTTGGAAGGGTGAGAAGGGAGTCTGTTTGCCTCTTACCGTACAGTAATTGCAAATCTCTTGCTTCCTACTTCAGCCTCAGCCTGGCCTGCCTCTGTTGTCATAAGGAGGTCATTTCTCTCATTTGGAAGCGTTTGCTGAGTCTTGAGCTATAAATTGTGACCATTAGTGAACAGTAGGGGAACTGCGGTGCAGAGAGCATTGGTACCCACAATGGCATAGGTGGTGATAGAAAAGTGCTTGATCAGCCTTGGTCCCCTCTCTCTTCCCTTTCCCAAATCTTGGGCTGTTTCTCTGGTGTTGGAGAAGCAGAGCAGTCCTCTGCAGGCATAGGGGGCCGTGTGGGTAGGGACAGTCTTGCAGTAAAACCCAGGCAGGCTTTTTCTATCTGTCGTCTAGGTGGAAAGGGATCAAGCCTACTGTCGCGATTCTCTCGCGAGGAATTTCCGACCCTGCAGGCGGCTGGCGACCAGGACAAAGCTGGCAAAGAAAAGGACACTGCCGATGCGTTGTATGGGCCCGGACCAAACCTCCGCCCCCAGAGTGAGTGGCCCCTCCTTATTAGCAGTGGGCAAGACCAGGGATGGCATGTGGTTCAAAATGGGAAAGGGTTTTCTCATCCTTTGCTCCTTTCCCCTCCTGTCTTGCAGACGCAACCAGCTGGCGGGATGGAGGTGGGCGGGGCACCGACGGGGAGCTGGTGCCTGAGGATGGACGGGCTGGGGTCGCCATGCAGCCTAACATTCCACCTCAGTACCCTCCCTACCGGGGGATGATGTCGCCATTTGTAAGTATTATTGCCAAAGAAGATACGCCTCATCGTAGCTGTGCTGACCTCCTTTCTAAGTGGAGAGCCAATGGGAAATTGGGAAGCCTTCCAGTAACCCGTTCTCCCTATGTTCCATTGCAGATGTATCCCCCATACCTCCCGTTCCCGCCTCCATATGGGCCACAGGGACCTTACCGCTACCCCGCAGTGGAGGCGCAGAGGTGAGTAAACAGAGATTGGTTTAGGGCAATAGGGCTTAGTGACAGGGGCTGGCTGATGTTTCTGGTGGTTTGAAGTCCTTTCTGTGTTGAAAAAGAGCTGGGTGTTTTCAGGTCTCTCTGATAGAAGACCAGGGCCCAGAAAAGGAATTCTGGAGGTATCTGTACTTTTTTAGAGAGGTAGGCATCCTTCAGTATCAAGAGACTATGATGACATGCTTGGAACAGCGTCTAGTGTGGCTGAAAAGGCCAATTCAAGAGTGACAATACCTTCCACACTGAGGACAAATACAATCTGTACCCCATCTACAGTAGCTCACTGATTTTGCGGCTTTCGTGACTGCCTCTTTGCCACTGGCTGCTGTACAAGGGTCTCTTCAAATCGGGAGAGGCCATGGAGCAGCGTCTGCCTCCAGGCTGAACACTCAGATGTCAAGGTTTCCCATCTGTTGAGGTCCATTGCTAAGGCCTTCAGATCCTACTTGCAGATATCCTTGTATGGCAAATGTGGTCTCCCTCTGGGGCGATTTCCTTGCACTAATTCTCCATAAAGGAGATCTTGGAATCCGACCATTAGCCATTCTCACAACATGCCCAAGCCAATGTAGATGTCGCTGTTTCAGTAATATATATATTGAAAATTCCAGCTGATTTTAGGGCTACACTATTTGGAACTTCGGCTGTTGTTGTTCCCTACATTTCTCCTGCAACTGTCTGAGGGAAAATACCATGTCAGTGGTGGATCTGCTAGCTCAAAATCCACATTGATTCTGGATAGACTTTGTCTGCAAGCACCTGGAGTCTCTTCAGCACAACATGGACAAGCAGCTTCCCTACAACGCTAAGAAGAGAGATGCCACGGTAGTTGTTGCAGTCACCCCAGTCACTTGTTTTTATATAATGTGACGATGTTTGCATCCTTCGTGTCCTGTGGTACTCCACCTTCCCTCCAGCTAAGACAGTAGATTTCATACAGCTCGGTGGTGATTATCTCTTTAGCAGGGATGTTATCCTTCCCAGGTGCCTTGCCAGAGGCGAGGGAATCCAAGGCTGTTTTTATTTCTGCTAAAGTTGGTTCACTGTCCAACTATTCAAAGACAGGCAGGCACTCAATGTTATTTAATGCCTCTTCAGTTACTACATTCTCTCTAGAATATAACTCAGAGTAGTGCTGCACCCAGCGTTCCATCTGCTCTGCTCGGTCCTGGATGATCATGCCTGTAGCAGACTTCAAAGGAGCAGATTTCTTCTGTATTGGACCTAAAGCCTGCTTGATACTGTCATACGTTCCCTTGATGTTGCCTCTGTCCGCTGCTATTTGTATCTGAGAACAGAGCTGAAGCCAGTAATTGTTGGGACATCTCCTGGCAGTCTGTTGGACTTTGCTACAAGCAAGTTGAAGAGCCTGCAAGTTGTACTCACTAGGACAGACTTTGTATGCTGCTTTAGCTCTCCCCTTATCCTCGATGGCTGGCATCAACTCCTCCGAATGGGCTTCGAACCAGTAGGCCATCTTTCTGGTCTTCTTGCCAAATGTGGACAACAGTGTTCTTGAAATGTTCCCATCGTTCAGGTGCATTTGCACCAGCCGGGCCTGGAAAACAGGCTGGTTTGTTTGTTTATTTGTTTTATACCCTGCCTATCTAGTCGAATGACCACTCTAATCTGTTGCAGGGGAAATAAAGACTCTTGTGGTGCCCTAAAGACATGGAGGGTTCGTTTTTATTTGTATAGGCAATGATGTGGACTATGTGGAAGTGAATCGGAGCAATGTGTAGGAATGGCCTTTGATCCATAAAAACATAACGCTTTTTGTAGCTTGACTTCAGAGTTTATGGAAGCTGTCAAGGAGACGGGGAAGGGAAACACATACGAACTAGCACTATCCTCTGAACCAAGGTTCGTGCCCATCTCTGCTCTGAATCTGTCACATGCAAGGCTGCAGCCTGGTTTCAAAGGAACTCCTTCAGCACTTGAAGCTAAATTTCTTAAGAACCACTGCACCACAACCCCCTTCTGCTCCCAATCCCCACATTGAACCTTTCTGGCCCCGTAAAGGGGAACACAGGTCGTGGGAGAAAATGATTTTTCCACTACAGCCATCGGTCCCTCCCCTTGTGTCAGCAAAGCCGATGACCGTGCTGGCTGTGGGATTCTGGGAACTATAATCCAAAGTAACACTTCCTCTCCAGTCTGTGGAGATGACTGGCAGGTAGCCAACAAAGTCTCCTGAGCAGATTTTGCTTTATCATCCTCAATCCTTTGGTTCATGCGGGCTCGTGTTTGCCAGGCTCACAGCTAGCATGGCAGTGATTAGAAGTGGAGAGCAGATAAAATACTTAAGGTGGGGGAGGGAGTGTAATGGAGGAAAGTGTATCTAGACCATTCTCCCTGAATGCTTTGGGCCTGTATTAAACCTTAGAAACCAGAAGGGACTAGAAAATCACTTCCTGCATCTGAAAATGATATTTAATCCTTAAAATACACTGGGAAGTATAATTATGTATGTAGGACCAAGCATACAGCCCAGTAGCTTTCGTGGCTCACATTTGCAGTTTTGGAGTGTTACCTGACACACCAGAGTTGCCAGGTGGGCAAAAAGCTTCATAAGCAGCTCTCATCTGCCCCTGACATTAGATACCTTTTTCTGCCAGGTGCAAACTAATGGCAGAAGAGGAGCTGGTGTTAATTCTTGTCATCCTGTTTTCTCTTCCAGGTTCCAAAGGCTCCCAGGACCTCGCCCCTCGCAACCTCCAGTGCGCATGTCAGAACCTGTGAGCCGGCCGCCCGTCCTTAAGCAGGATGACCTGAAAGAATTTGATGAGTTGGACCAGGAGAACGACGAAGGCTGGGCCGGTAACTGGAAAGCCTGTTCTTGGCCGCCTTGCCGGGGGTGGGGTGGGGGTTGTTACTTGTTCAGGGTGCTTCCTGACCAACTCTTTGTGGCTCGGTCTCTCGGTCTCAAAGTTCCTCTTTGTTTCTCTCAGGGGCCCATGAAGAAGTAGACTACACTGAGAAGCTGAAGTTCAGTGATGAAGAAGATGGGAAAGATTCTGATGAGGAAGCCACTGAGAACCGGTGAGGATGAGAGGGGTGGAGGTTCTCCCATGGCTGAGATCCTGTGGTCTGTCCCATGAAATTGGCACCCAGGATGTCAGCTGAGATGCAACCATTAGCCGCCTGGGGACCCTTTGGGGAAAAACCAGCTCCCACGGGGCCTGGACTACATGCCGCCACCCACCCACCCCAACTAAACTTGTTCTTGCCATCTCAGAGCCATGAGGTGCAGGATCCCAGTAGGCTTGACTGAATATCTTTCTCTTCTTCCACCTTTGCCCCAAGAAATGAGGAGGTGTCTGGTCCCGAAAACCAGTCATCAGGCACAGACGCTAAGAAGGCTGGGACACTGAGAGAGGATCAGCCTGTGGTGAAAACAGCCTGGGCTGAAAATTCACGCCCTCCAGAGGGCGCTAAAGACCCACCAGCATCTGCCCCTGCCATGCGTCCGCCACCGCCGCCGCCACCACCACCTCCCAACCGGGGCAATTGGGGGCAGCCGAATGATTTCCCGGTGAGTTTATAAAGGCTGTGGAGCTTACCAGCACTATGTCAGGTCGGCCAGAGCAATGCCGTTAGTAGTGTTTTTCCTTCTCCTTCATCATGTGGGAAGGGCATGCTATCAACTTGCTGTTGGAAAAGGAAGAAGCATTCTGTATAAGTTCAGAAATGTCCTATTATATTATGACTGGTCTCGTAGAAGTGCTTGACACCCAGTGTGGCATAGTGGATAGCGTGGCAGATTGCAACTCGAGAGACCTGGATTCAGTCTCTGCTCAGCTGGGGGGGGGGAACTCAGTGGGGGTGTGGAACTGATAAAACCACTCCTTAAATATCTTACTTGCCTTGAAAAGCCCTAGTCAGTTCTAACTCAATATTAGGGTCACTACAAGTCAGTTCTGACTCAGTGGCACAGAACAACAGCAGTAGAAGTGCTTCTTCTAAAGACCCGAAGGTAATCTGTGAAGTCCCTATTTTAAAAAGCTGTATCTCACTCTGTTTCTGTGAGGTAAAGCACCCAGAATCTCTCAACCAGCAGGACCTGGAGTCCTGTTCAGCACCAGTACAACGTAAAGCATTACCAGAGCAGTAGTGTAGGCTTTCCCACTTATGCAACTGTTGGTCTAGTAATGCAAAGCTCTTTTGAACAGATAGCCACTTGTGCTTGGCGAACCTGTGTACCTCTGCACAAGCTGCATAGAAGTCATATTGCTCAGCCCGTGGTCATGACAAGCAGCTTGATGCCAGCCCTCAGAAGTAGTTTCTCCAGGCTCCAGCCAGTGGGTTGTTTGTGCTGTGAATTTGCTCATGAGAGGCACAGCCCTTTTTGAAATGGGAGATTGTCATTCTAAGTCAAATGTTGGGGGTGGGGGCAGGATGGCTGCTATAAGAGACCCCAGGAAAGGTTGGTTTGTGTGGCCTGCTTTATGTGTTTCTGCTTTTGTGATTCTCGAGATGTACAAAACCCAATACAAATCCTCCTTGGTTCTTCATTGTTGTCTCTGAATCACACAGTTGGGGTTTTGCACCTACATAGAACCAACCTCAGAACACTCCAGATGTGTATTTTCGGAAGCCTCGCCCACCTTCCTGCTCTGGCAGACACCCTTGAGTTATTTCTTGTCTGCCAGAATGAAAGTGTCTAAGAACATTCACTGAGCTCATCTTTCTACACAGTACCTGTATGATCTTATTTTCTAATCACACTTGGCTTCTTCAAGCATAATAGATACCCTTTCCAACTAGCCTCTGCCATCTTAAAGATGACTCATGTGCCCTAATCTTAATAAGACTTGAGGATTTCATGTTAAATTCTTTGTCTGATGACATTCTTTTTGTGTAGAAACAGTATGAATTCTGAAATTGTGGAATGGCTGTCCTTCTGGTGGCGGTTGCAGTTGGGTCTGCTGCTCACGCTGAGCCATTGGAGAGACCAAGCCAGAGACAAAAGCAAGATGCCATTGAAAGTTCTGAGATGTGTGTTCCATAATAATTGAGTGGCGCTCTAGGGCAGAAGAATTGGGGCAAAGAAGCCATTCTTGCTGTCTTCTAATCTAGAACATTTGATTTGATGTATTTGGTCGTTCACGGAGCAACTCTGAGCCAAAGCTGTTGTTATCCCCTCTCTCCCTCTCTGCTCCAGGACCGCTCTCTGCGGCCACTTCCTCCAGAAGATGAGGACGAAGCTTGGCGCCAGCGTCGAAAGCAGTCGTCTTCAGAGATCTCTGCCGCAGTGGAGCGTGCTCGGCGTCGGCGGGAGGAGGAAGAGCGGCGCATGCAAGAGGAGCGGCGGGCTGCTTGCGCTGAGAAACTCAAGCGCCTGGACGAGAAGTTTGGTGCTCCTGACAAGCGACTGAAGCCAGAGCCTCCCAAGGAGCCCCCAGCTGCGCCTCCTCCCCCACCCACTCCCACGCCCTCCAATCCGCCTTCGGCGCCTGCCCCCTCGGAGGAGAAAAAAGAGAAAGAGGAGCCTGTTTTGCCTAGTAAACCTCGCAGCAGTGGCAGCAACACTGGGAGCAGCTTGGACTCTACCAATAATGGTAACACATTTGTTTTGTTGA